AGGGGCAGTGTCACTGGCCCTCATATGTGGGATCCGAACCGGGGCCCTCTGGCGTCCCAAGCCAGCTCTTAACCAATGCACCACTTGGCCGGCCCCTAAGGCAATATTTCTAATCTGTCTTGTTCACTGATTTATCCCAAGCATCTGATTCTAGAACATAGTGTTTCTCTATAAATATTTGTTGAATTGACTTTATTTACATGTAACTTTGATCTTCCATTGTACAGCATTATAGTGGTGTATGTGGATTTAGTTGAGTGTTCTACTGTATAGCAGTAAATATTTTGGTTCCGTATATGCACGTTAGCCCTTTTGGTTATAGTTAGAAGAAGGTAGCAAGTAGAACAGGAATAGAGATTTCTGTTCAGTGGTGTCTTAAGAGACAGACAGTAAACCCGGGTCCCAGTGCTGTTCTCTTACCTCTTCACTGTGATAGGAGCAGAGGATCAGCATGGGGTTATCATTTAAGACTTGGCTTTGGAGTCAGAGTACATGGATCTTTTCATTGACTGGCTTTATGACTTTGAGCAAGTACCTGCAACCCTTTGAACCTCAGTTTACTGAGCTGTAAAATGGAAGTGATAGAATCTTCTTCATGGTGTTGTTGTGACATTAAGTGAGAAACTATACAGCTCACTTGGAATAGTTCCTAGCACATAGTGTGTTCTTCATACATTTTAGCTGTTGTTGAGAGGGACTGTGGAACTTCAGTGGGACAGAGGAAGAATAAAAACACTTACGTCATGAAATCCAAATAGCATTGATTACTTAGAGGATCAGCCTCAGGGGAAGAGTGCTTCAGAAGGAAAACCAATTTACAAGCATCATTTTAAAAGTTTAGGGAGTAAGAATGACTTAACAGATTCTAGAGTAAAAGATGATAGAGAAGTTAATTGTGTAATATTTTTAGTATGAATTTGTGTGTAAAACAGATATTCTTTTGAACTAAAAGAATATAAAGAGTTCTATCTCCTTATCTTCTCTTAGTGAACATAAATAAGATTCCCCTGATCTTGCTTTTCCCTTGAGGGCTTATTTTACACACCCTTGGAGTCAAAGATTGTGTGGGTTTACAGGACTATTTCTTCTGTAGTTCAGTCTAATCGGGTCGGGAAACTGCGGCTCGGGAGCCACGTGCAGCTCTTTGGGTACGTTCCGTCTCACAAATTTGCTGACCCCTAGAAGAGCCAACCCTGTCCCTCACAACAATTTAAAAATTATTCAAGAGCGATAAATATATTTTTACATAATCACTATTATGTGAATAATATCCTTTAAAAATTTTTCAATGAAACTATGATAGCTTTATTTTCATTTTCAATTTTACTTCAGAGCCTGTGGCTCACGAGCTACAGTTTGCTGACCCCTGGCGGATCTTCCATCTCAAAAGTTTGCCGACCCCTAGTCTAGAATAATGTATCTAATTAGGCTAACAAATGACTTGGCAGGGTAAACTAGCCCCCCAAATATGTATACCTGAGACATAGCCTGATAGGCTACTCTAGACTCTCTGTTAAGGTTACAAGCTAAACATAGTCTGAATTGCATTATTTTCTTTGCAAAAAACTGAAGTTTGTGGAAGTTGGGAGGAGGGCAGGGAATTCCTGAGAATAATCTTTCATTTTTCTCCTTATTTGGATAGGTCTTATTGGGGGTGGGGGAGCTTGTGTGAGGGGTAAAGAGTGGGAAAGCAGAGAGAGAGTGAGAAGAATTTGACCAACTTTTTGCTGTCTTAGAGCAAGTAGAGCACTGTTAATCTCATCCATTGTGACATAATAAATTTATTGATTTCCTCTTTTACATTCATGGCTTTAAAAAGTAATAGCAGCTGCCATTAATTGAGACCCTACTGTGACCATCACTCTACGAGCTGCTTTGACTTTTTCTGTCTTATGTATTTTCTTAGAGATCCAGTGAGGATAGTATTCTCATTTATAGACCCAAAGATGTAAAGTAGTAGATTTTATGGGACGTTATCTGAAAAAGATACATACCTAAACTTTCTAAGAGTCTTAGCCAGAGTTCTTTCCATAGAAAATGCTCCTTTTGTCTTTCTGTAAGAGTATTTTTAGTTTTTACTTAAATTAAGCATGATTTAAATTTTTAACCCCTTTGTAGTTCTCATTAGACAGAAAAGGAAACAATGCTGCAGGCTAAGTTTTTTTAAGTACACAATATGCAGTTTCTGTTTATTGCTGTAAGTATGGAAAAACAGTTATAGAAATGTTTTTTAAAATACATGTTTAAAAATTGATTCTTTTTCCTTTCACTAAATTTATCTGGTGACTCAGTAACTCCTTTTTAGCCTGGAAGCCTTCCCAACTGTGGGGATTGTTATATTAAG